TTTTTTTTTTTATTTTTTTTTTTTTTTTTTTTTGGTACAAAGAATGCAAAAAAACAAAACGATATTTTTACTTCCGTTCAAAATATGCAAACGACACGTCTCTTTCAAAACGCGCACGTTGTTATTGTATGTTTTTTTCCGCAGAAAGACTGAATCATGTTTTTCAACACTCACCGCATAAGGAGAATAGCAAAATACTGGCGAAGAAGAACCACCTCATTCTTCACCAACAAGTCGTTCCTTGAAAAATCGTGCTATCTAACAACATCGTTGAACTTTAGGCGGGTGTAGGAATCGTCATTTACTTGTGCCGCACATTGGGAGGACGGAGGTCCTGGAAAAATTCACATTAAAAATTAGTCACACACGTTTCAAACGATTTTTTGATTTTTTTTTTTTTTTAAACATTTTTGCTGATTACTATTCCGTCACGTCTACTCACATATGCGTCGAAATAATTACTTTTTGAATCTGTAGCGAGTGAAATGTAGCATGTGAAATTTTTTCGTATATACCGCCAGAAGAGAAACAGCCGAAAAAAAAAAACGCAAAAATATCATCCCGTATCGGTGAATTGCATCGCAAAGGAGACGCGAATAATTGAAACGGATCTACGCCAGAAGCAACACATACTCCCACGGTCTCGCGAAATCCACCTCGATTCTATATAATCGCCGACGAATAATGTATAAATTCGCTTTCGAATCGTGCGCCGCGCTCCCGACATTTCCGTAAACCAGTAAATAACTTATGCATGAGCACGTTAGTACGAATCCTGTGCCCTCGCTGGGGCAAGAATTATATTCATATTGGCGAAATACATCGACGTTGCGTGCGGTATATCTTCTATGTTCGCTATTGTAAAATTTCCGCACGACGGTCGCGCACAATATTACTGCGACCTATGTAAATCCTTCACGCGAGAACGATCATGATGATCGTTGTAATTTCAGAATGGACCGAATTTCGTTAGGTTTCAGAATCAATAAGACTCGGATTTTTCTTTATTTTCAACTTGTGTTCTTGCAATTAGTCGTCTCTTAGTAAAATAAAACATCAATTTATTTGTTTGTGGCAACGTTTCGAGCTACTTCAGAAATTATCGCGGTGATTTACATCAAGTAGAAATTTGAGAATTTACAGAAATAATATTCTAAGCACTTTTCATCAATCAAAACAATCAAACGCAATATCACTAATAAATCTTGAGATCGAGAGAGAGAGAGAGAGAGAGAGAGAGAGAGAGAGAGAGAGAGAGAGAGAGAGAAGGGGAGAGATGATTTGCGGAAATTTGATGGATTAATTTACATTTTGTTAATATTGACAATAATAAATTGTTTGATTGAGATACATAAAAGGCTGACACACGACGCACAAATAATAGATACATTATTCACCGCAATATTCATCACTATATAAAATACAATAATTATTGCCGCGTTTGCGGCTCATCATTAATTTTCCATTGTTAAACTTGAAAACGCTATAATATTATCATTATCAATAAATAAAATCCAGTTTATGTCACAGACAGTTCATGTTGTATAATCGAGTGGAATTAAACGCCATTAATAAATCTATTACGATCAAAGACGTGTTTCTTTCGTCGAACTTTTATTTATATTTTTAATTAAAAAAAAAAAAAAAAAAATAGACAAAATAATCCGCGAAGTACGCGTAAAAATTCACATCACGCGTTTGACTCCGTCATTACTTCGTTACGTGTTTGTTTATTTCAGATAAATTTGACGTCCCTCCCCTTCCCCCTCGCAACATACTTCCGCCACGGTGCCGCTAAGTGCCTAATTATTCGCTCGATCCCGAGCGCTCATATAATTAACAAATAGAATAATTAATTATTACCGTAACACGAGCCAATAACGTCGCTCATCGTCAACCATCTGCTGCCCCCGGTACATTGATAAATCCATTATCTCTCGGAGCGCGAGCCCGCGCGCTGAAGTACCTCCTGGGAACTCGTTTCTTTTTCGATGCGCCGAAACGAGTACTCCCGCGTATCTCGATCGCGCGTTAAAAAAAAAAGTCCGTTGCGATTGCGAGCCGTGATTAGAATCGAACGTGTGTGCGCGTAGTTCCGGAACTACGCATTGTTTCCCGAAGCCCGTGTTTGTTTTTTTGCGTATTTGCGTATCACCGATATCGCGTGATGGATATAAACCGGCGCGCGAGTTTTCGTAACCACGTTCGACTGGACGCCATTACTGGTGCGTCACATCTCGATCGCGACACGTGACAATCGATAACAGTCGATAGTACCGATGATCGATCGAGATTGAGAATAAGGCGGCGTCCCTGTTGCTTCCCGCGCAAATGTCAGATTTTCTTTGTCAATTCGAAACGCGGAACTAGTGCGGGAGCAAGTTGTTGAGGATCGTTTCTCCGTCACGTGAGGACTCGTATACTTCGAGATAAAAGCTATCATCCAGCTCTCGCGACGCAAGGCTTCTTCGCACGTTAACGAGAAGAAAAACTAAACTGAAACACGCGATGGCAGATCAAAACCGGACTATTGACATCGATCGGCTCTCCGACGCGGTGCACAGTTTACGAAAATCCTTGGAATGTACGATTTGGTAAGCGCAAATACACAAACGTGTCTATTTAGATTGTTGTTGAAGATGTAATCGAATCTTACTCGAACCTACTTGTGTCTCGCATAGTCACCGTTATGTAAGTTTTTACGTGTAATGATTGTGGTGTAAGGTTATATAGGTTAGGATTTCAAAAGAATGCAGCAAGTACACATATATATGTGTGTTGTACGTATATATTATACGGCACATGTTGCACTTTTTTTTTTTGCAAAGAAATAGGTTGACTACAAAATTGTGTTAAGCAGTTATTAATTCTCGATCGATTGCATGTTTAAAACATGCAATTAATCAGAATTAAACAACTGGAGAAGAGAGATGTCAAATTTTTATCTGAAATAAATGTTTAAAACATAACTTTTTGTGAAAAGCATGTAAATAACATGCAAATGAATTATGTATGTATTAGCAACTGTATTTTATATAAGGCTAAAAAACCAATTTGTTTTTTTTTATATAGAATAGAAAGTCTGAATTGGCACTTCACAGAACATATAAGCAATCACCAATTTTGCATTTGTTTCAGCTTGGAGTTTATAAAAGATCCAATTAAAACAAGATGTGGCCATTCGTTTTGTAAGGCGTGCATATGGAAAGTCTTGCAGACAAAAAAGACAACTTGTCCGCTGTGTCAGAAGAGTCTCACCAGACGCAACGTATCCAAAGATGATCACATGCAGACCTGTATCGAGAGGTTCACAAAACTAGTCTCTGCCATACAAGCTGACACCAACATAGACAGTAAGTACAAAGAGCTCTTCAGTTCTATTCGCTTTGATTAATTCATTCTGTGAGATGTTGTGCTGATCGCTCAAAGTATAAAAATGTAGAATTATAAAGTAACATAGATTATATATAACTCTTCTGGAAAATAATGTGACAAATTGCTTTTATCACAAGAACGCTTTGATATTAAGCGAGTCAAATCAAGGGAATTCGTTTCAATAATAAATGGCTGTAATATAGTTTTTCTTTTTTATTTTGCAACAGCTATTGATCTGCATTATTTTATTCAGTTGTAAGAGAAGGTTGAAAGCACAGATGCGCTGTAAAACTACATTAAGTAAGGTCAGCACTATCTTCTTCTTGGCGCACACAGAGCGGAGAGAGCACACAGGCCTGAAAAATTTAATTCTCAATACTCTAAGGTGGCTTGATTCGCGCTATAGAGAAAGCTTAATGTTTTATGATACCCTGAAGTTTGGATATCACGTATCTCTCCAACATTATCCAGGTTCTTGAAAGTTTAAAAATTTTCCCCCACTGAGACGGAACTTTTCTTTATATTTCTGCTTATTATCTTTTACAGAATTTTATTTAAACATGTTTGCTTTTTTGTTTTATCGAATTTTGAGAATATTCCGCATAATATTTCAAAATGTAATTTGATTAAAAAAAAAAAAAAAAAATTGCGCGCGTCAGATAAGTCAAGATTTGTATCGGAATGTTTTTGATCTGTGTGCGAAAAGTCGTTACAGTTGTTTGTGTTTTAAGTTTCTCCACTAACTCGTTTCAATTTCTTTAAACAACCTTGCGATATTATCAATAAAGATTCGCTGTATCACAGTTTTCAGTGGATAAGATAATCACGGATAAGATAGTGATATATATATATAAAAAAAGAGATTAAGATTTTTCATTTAGTCCTCATTGCAATTTTTTTCTCAATTATATGTTTATCTTTAGTTCAATCTTTTGTAATGTAAAATGAAGTAATATGCAAGTACACATCTGTGTGGGATGACCGTTAAATAATAATTAACTTTTTGTTTTAAAAAATATAAGACAGTAATTATTTAATGGTCACTAAATACTTGCATTATTTTATTTTCTATTTTATTTTCTATTTTATTTTACAATGTGAAAAATATATGCGCGCAAATGTATCTAATGACTGTTAGACAAATTATTTTCGAAAAACACAATTGCGCACAATCTGTCTGTTGTGTACCGAGTTGTTATTGCAAAAAAAAAAAACGATTGTTCTCTCATAACTTGCGGATAAAATTCAATTCTTTAGTAAAACATCATCCAAAGTAAACGGGACGTTATCTCTGAGTGTCTGCGATAAAGTTTGGATCATATATCCGTGTTGCAGTACTATCGCACTTGAAGCATCCGCGCGACACAAGAGAAAGCTGCTCTTATACAGATATTAGCGAATCTAACAAAAAAAAATCGTCGCACAGATCGTCCGCTCGTCAAGCGAGCGCAAATTCAAACAGACAAACGGATAAAGCGTCGACGAGTCGGAAAATCGAACATGATGATAATAACTCGCGAGACGAATTACTGAGCCAAGTGGCGTTGTCGGATCCTCCCGTTGCTAATCATTTATCTGTCGAGAATGACGACAATTACTGCAAGCCGGACGTTAAAGTTCGCACGTGGTTGCATAGTTTTTCCGGAGAATCGACCGCTGAATTGGAAGAACGAGACGCGAACGAGACGCGCGTAACCGAAGACGAGACCAGTTCGGTAGCCGACAATAACAGTAAGTCGAGCAGAAACAGCGAAATGCGTCTCGTTAAGGGCAGGAGATCGAATCGCGGTAGAAAACGGAAGAACAGTTCGGAGCGCTCCGACGACAAGGAGGACAATGCGTCCCGAACTGAATCAGAAACGCAAAAGCCCGGCGAGGAGAAGGATATCGATTTCTATTCGAGCGGGTTGAAGTATAGCAAGATTCACGCTAAAATACGGAAGAGAGAGAATAAGAGGGACGAGATCGAGGAGAAGAGATCGAACGTCGATGAGGCAAGCAAGCAAGATGAGAGCGCGACAGACGCGTCCGATCGTGCGAACACGTCGTCCGCGAACTGGTCCCGCGTGATCGAATTCGGAAAAGAGATGCGCGACAAAAAGAAAAAGGTGAAGAAGCTGAACGTGCATACCGAAAAGAACAAACCGAAGATACTGGAGAGCATCGTTCTAACGCCAAAGAGCAAGATCGATCCGGCCAGATTGCCGACTCGCAAAACGGATGGGAGTCAATCCACGTGCAGAAACGAGACAAATGCGTTCGAATCGATGGGAGACGGGGGGACGAACAGAAGACGGGACGCGGGTGATAGAAGTCTTCGCGTATCGACTCCGTTGAAGCAACCGAAAATTATCAGGGACGTGACCAACACCTCGACATCGGATCACTCGGCGTTGGAAACGTCTTACATCACGCTGGAGGAGAACAGGAAGATACGCATAGTGAATCTGAACAACGATCAGGTGAACGAGATTCTCGGCTTCGGGGTCGATAAAGATCAAAGTCAAAATCAACGCGCGCCAATTGATCATCTGTCGCAATCGCCGAGCAAACTCAGAGTGCTCACGCCGGAGAAGGTCAACGAACAAGCGGATCGCGGCGCGAGAAAAACCATCGATTGCAATCGAAGCGCGTTACGCACATCGGCCGAAGATCAGAATCTCGGATCTCAGGAGAGAGACGACGGTGACATCGCTTCGAGAACATCGGGCGAGATCGAGTTTCATGGAATGCGAACACCGAAGAAGTCTAGATTGTCGTTGAGGAGAAAACTGACGACCGACGACAACAAGAACGTCGACTCGCCAGCTGAGAGATCGCACGAGAAACACGTGATTGACGATCGCGTCGATTCGCCGGAAAACGTAGCGGCGCCGGATCGATTAGCGCGCGCGCGACGTAACGTGAGCACGCAGATCGATGAGGATCAGCCTCCGCGAGCCGTTCGAAGTGCGACAATTGCCACCACGTCTTCGTCTTTGAGAAGCAAAGACGAAGACGATCGCGGAATCGTTCGCCGGGATGAGAGACTCGTTAGCGATCTCAGATCCGGCAGATCGAAGAGATTGAGAAGATCGAAGACTCCGGAACGCGATTTCCGCGTGAGATTCGTACAGCTGGGATCGATGAACAGACGACGTCAGACGAAGTATTATTATCTGGGCAAAATAAACCGCGAACGTTTGTTGGCGGCGGAAATCGGGAACGTTACGGTGTACAATATGCAGCAATCGATCAGCAAATCCGAGATAAAGTACGTTGCGAACAAGTCGCTAAGCCGCGCGACATCTCCGTTAAACGATTCGCAGGAATCGGTGATCGCGATGGAAACTGCGCGGTGCTTCCTCGCAAAAAGCTCGAATCGCGCCATCGAAAACCCGGAATTATCGGCGTCATCTTCCGCGTGCGGAATCGCGGCGGCTACTTCGACACCGAGAATAGATATCGATCGGACGACAAGCCGCTCTTCAATCGACGCAAATGCGCGATCGAACGAACCGATCGAGGATAAGGAAAACAAGCGATGTTCTAAAATACTTCGCGATGATCTCGTCGGAAATGCGATTCGGGATATATCGTGCGTTTCCTTGCGGAGTTCCGTTCGAATTCTGTCACCGGACAAGGATTCGCAGCTCAAGTTTTTAGACACGGACTCGCCGATGAGCCAGCGCGCGTTCAAGCGCGGAACTTCGACGCATCACCGACGATCCGTCGAAAACATCGCGGAAGATTACTTTTCTGACAAAGAACAGTCAACCGTCGCGACGTTCGCGAGCAAGAAGCAAGATTCGTCTTCTTCGGAAATCTTTGAAAAGAAAAAAAAGAGAAAGAGATGCATCACCATCGAAGGAAAATTTGAGGACGTCGAGTCTGGCAACGATCTCAGCGGCGACGTGGTCGACGACCTCCGATCCACGAACGATCGCAACGGACGCGATAAATCATCCAAGGACGTAAAATCGGACGTGGACGCGAATAAAAGACGCCGTTTGAGTTCTGCGGACGACAAAGCGATCGTCGATTCTGACGAGCGGAGAGCGCTCGTTCATAAAAAGTTTAGAAGAATAATAAGAATTCCTAGCTCGGAATCGGAATCGCCGGTAAATTGTTGTCCCGCGCGCGACGATCGCGAATTTGATCAAGCGTCGCCCGCGAATGTTGTAGCGCGAAGTTTGAGAGATAGAGAGACGAATCCGTCAGAAGAACCTGTTCGGAACGTACTCGAAAACCGGAACGGAGAGCGCAACGAGAAGATAACATCGAGGAGAAGCAGCGCCGAGACGATAATACGAATTCCGTGCGACGAGGAATCGGCAAGCTCTTATCAATCGTCTCGCTTGGCGAACGAAGAGAATAACGTCGCGAATCAGAATAGTTGCGCGACGAAAGAATCGCAAATGTTCGAGAGCAACAGCATATTCCACTCGGACAATTTGGAATATATCATTGAGGAGTCGTTGAACAGATGCGTCAAAGCGCCGGATAAATTCTCGAACAACGATATCATAAACAGAGTGCTGCAGATCGATCGCCAAAGCAATTCCGACGCGCGTCACTCGCCGAACGACGGAACGCGTCAAAGGGACGAGACCGGCGGCGGCGGGGGTTACTTGCTGCAGGACAATTTCGACGAGATCATCGCAAACGTCGAACTGCCGCAAAGCGAGAAGATGACACCGAGTAGTTTGCGCGCGGATTCGAATCGCGCGAGACAGAAAACGTCAAAGTGTCCCGCGATGACGGATGAGTCATCGCGCGGCGCCGCCACGCAGGAGATGATACCTGTGATGTCCGCGTCGAGCCACGACATTTTCGAGCAGAGCGATTCTATCAACGATCGCAACGTTGACAGACCAGTCGGCGCCTCGGGAAATTCGAACAAGGAAAACGTCGCGCTCGGTCGGAAAAGTTACGCGACCGACGACGTTTCTTCCGACAGAAAGATCAAGCACGGGAAGGAAAAGTCGTTTGATCGCGGCGACGGTGTCTGGATCGACGCGGAGCGACACGGCGTCGACAACGTAACCGCCGCGCAAAATCGAAATCTGTCTGACGATCAGTCGAAGGATTCTCAAAACGACTCGATCATGAACGTCACTCGCGATCAGCTTCGTCTGCAGATCTTCGAGGAGGATCTGTTCGGCGTAATATCGAGCAGAAGTCCGACGAAGGCGACGACCACGCGGGATGATGCGGATCTGCTTCAAGAGGCGAGCACTCCGAGGCGGGAGAAACGAAGGGATTTGCAAGACAAAAATGTATTGTCGCCAAAGGTAAGTGTTCGCTTTGCAAAAAAGTTGCTCGCTTGTCTAATTTCGAATCAATATGTGGAAAATAGTTGCCCAAATGCAATCGCGCTTGAATCTCGAGTCGATTTCTCTCACTGTTTCGATAAGACATTTTTTTGTGAGAAATTTCCCCGTTTAATTTTTGGTCACAAATAGAAAAAAAAAAATAAGTATCTTTCTCTCGATCGAAGAAAACGAAATTTTTACCTCGTCGAGACAATTTATAATTGGTCTATAAATTTTTTCTCTCGCATATTAGCAAGACTTTGCATAATGTTAAATAACGCAATATCGCTGTGCGCGGAGTGGGATTCCACTAAATCTCTGTCTCGCGACATTGTACGTTTTTTTTTTTTTTTTTTTTTCTTAGCGCGTGTATTCACGTCAGCTGCGTGAAATTAGAGGAGCGGTCCATTATATGGAAATGGTCGAGAATTGTGGAATAGCCTGTTGCATATATATATATATCCGCGACCTTCGCGCTCTTCGCGGGGGTCCTGAGCGCGTTTGCCATTTATAATCTCGCTTAATTCAGTTTAACCTCCGTTATTTACGTCCGCGATACATTTCGAATCTCTCGAGGAGAGTCCATTTTTTTTCTTTTTACCGAACGAGGATCACATGGCATTTTTAAACGCAGGAACAAGCCGAGGAGAACGACGTTGTGGAGAACACTCCCGAGTCCAAGATGAAGAAGTAAGTAGTCGCGAGTTTCAAGTCTTTTTCTTTCTTATATGCTCTCCGCGAGTACGCGCTTTTGCTAGTTGGGTAATGTGCTCTCGCCCGAATATCACGAGTATACGCTGTCGCGTAATTCACAAAAAAACGAGCGACTCTCTCCTATTACTATTTCAATTAAAATTTAAAACAGAACAAAGTAAAAGACAAGAATGATAAAATATTATCAGTCGTTGAAAATGTAAAAAATGTAAAAAAATATTAGCAATCGTCAAATGTAAAAAAAAACTTTTTTCACGACACGCTGCTGCATAATTCACAAGCAGAACTGTGTGACTCTCTCTTCTATTTATGTTTAGATTGAAATATAACAGAAACAAAATAAGAGATTGAAAATGATAAAATAATTAAGTGTAGAAAAAGAATTTGTTTGCACAATATTTACACGCACATGAGATTGTTGTTAAATAATTGACACTTCTTTCTTGTAACGCGTTTCTCAAGTTAGTTTCGCCTGACTAGAAAACAAATGTGCGTTCTGCGTTTCGAAATTTACAAGATGTTCATTACTGACGTTGTAGAAGTGGAAGTAGAAGCTTCGGAACGCTCGAGTCGAGAAGAAACATATCCCTGTCGTTTATGACGCCGAAATCCACCGATCGCGCGCCGGTTTCGGTGCCGAACACGCCTGTTCTCGAGAAAATTCCGCTCTGTCAAAGCACGCCGAGAGATGGCCACCTTGACGTACTCACGGGAAACAGAAGAACCGAGCTCGCCGCGACACGCGGTCTTGTTTCGCCGACGATCGGCAGAACGCCGGAAGACAATCGGCAAATCCGATCCGCCAAAGAAACAACACCGTGTGTCGTGTGCAGCTCTCTGACAGTAACTCAAACGAAAGCGGTGAAAGACTTCGCGGCCGAGTACAAGCTGAGGTTCGCGGATCGGTTCGATCCCAAGATAATAACGCACGTTATCGTGAACACCACCGGAAAGGAGAACGCGGCGAAGAGCACATTGAAGTATCTGCAGGGCGTAGCCCATCGGAAGTGGATAGTCAGTTACAGATGGGTCGAGGATTGCGTGAGGAAACAGAAAATACTGGACGAGGAACCGTACGAAGCCACGACGTTCTGCGACGGCATCTTTCCCGCTCCGCGAAAGTCCAGACTACGGGAAACAAATCTCTTCGAAGGCTTCGTCTTCGTTTGCATCGGACCGTACGACAACGTTACACCGGCCGAGTATCAGGTCGGTTCTCGCTCGAATTTTGACGCTTTTGAAAAAAAAAAAAAATGCGGATAAACCGCGTAAGAGTTACGCGCATCTGGAATTGTTAGACGCGGAAATGATAAATTTTACTATCACGTACGTTCACTATTAATTTCTGCGAAGACCGCAACGCGGGGAGAGATTCTTTTTTTTGGTTGAAAATGATTTATTGTGGACCGGAAAAGTTTTATTTGCGGTTTCAGCGCTAAGGCGTCGCGCCATTTCAAGTTGGATTTCGGCCAAATTCGTCAATGTGAGATTTTGTCTCTGATTTTTTTAGGACTTGTTACTCGCCACCGGAGCTATGGTGGTTGACTCCCTCGACGATCTCGATAAGAAGGAAGGGTTGAAAGGTATACTGATCCAAGACGATGCTTATGATAATAAAGTTATCGGTAAGTGATTGTCATGGAAACATGAACAAATTATAAATTATTATTATTTCCGTTCTCTCAGAAGCATCGGTGATGCACACTTTCATGTGCAAAGAAGTGTTTGCTGTTTGTACATAAAATTGACATAAAATAATTTTTCGAGAAGCGAGAAGATTTTGTTTAATCTTTTTAATTTTTTTTTTTTTTGTAATAGAAAATTGGTACCGAACTGTCAAAGCAGCACCAATTCTGGTCGATTGGATAGTGGATTGTATCGGTCGTTACAAATTGCTTAAGCTCGCGTCCTATATCCATTTTATATCGCCGCAAGATTGTTACGCTCTTGGTTATCCGCGCGATCTCTTAGAGGATGAAGAGTACAGCGACGACGATTTGTTAATTATCAAGTAGCGTAGGATCGTTGCGTCCAAGTGTTTGAATATTCGAGATCAGACTTCACAGATTAGCGAAGTTATAAATCCACGTTAATTCGAAGTAACAAATTTCGCTTCAGGTTCAGATTCAAGTTCGGATTTTTACGTTGAATTCTCCCTTTGTTATTTTGTATATCTAACGCATTTTCTAATAAGCGTTTCTTTACAAGCGGTATAAAAAGTTGCAATTGTTTTGTCGTTAAGATATTGTTGAGAGGTATTACTGATAATGTAACTTCATGTGTGTGAAAGCATTTACACGCCACTTCCTGTAGAATGTTCCTGAACTTATTTTTGTAGAAAAAAAAAGTTGCAATCCTCAGAACATTGAGTTAGATTCAACGGATATAAGAGATCTGGACAATCTGTTGTCTTTGTTTTTGAATATTTTAAGTAACGCGCAATTAACTGTTATCCGAATACTTGGATGCTCGGATAATGCCAGATTCGAACAAATTTTTGAGAGGGACCCTGATAAAGAGGTATATTTTGTGTTTACATCAGGAGAACGAAATACAAATTTATAATTTACACGTTTACATACGTTTATTTTATTCATTAAGTTTTGTTTTTCTATTAAAGTTTCCTGTTTATGTTTAATATACTCTCAGACAGATATCATGTATGTACACGGCGATAGTTTTGCAAGAAATTATTCTCTTGTATTACTTCGAAAATTTAAAAATGTGCGATATGTACATGTGTCTCCACGTTAATGTAAAAATATGTTAACACTCGTTTAGTTTTTTTGGAAATATATCTATTGATATAGGATTAATATTACTTATTTACACACACAATATTTCTATTTTTTATATATACGTTGGATACATATGTATATATATGTATAATATATATTACTATAGACTCGCGCGCGCATTATTTTACGTCTTTGTTAACACGTTTCGCACCACGTGGGCGCCACCGCACTCGTTGGACTTTTCGTTCAGGCTGTTTGATACTCATACTGTTACATACGTAAAACATATCCTTCAACAACACATCGTATAATATATTTGCATATGTACGTAAAGCACCGGTATGCGTATGTATAAATGTGTATGCGTGTGACGTTAACTGTCATTTATACATGTTTTAAATGACATTTAAAATCAATTGATTGGCGCGTATAATATATGTAACATATCGTTGAACTTTCATGTAACACACATACACATATACACACACACATACACAGCATGAACGAAATGATATATATTTGTATTTTTGTAATAAAAAAAAAAAAAAGAACACATCTGTCGATTTTGCTAAACCCAAAGTTTGTTAGTTTAAAAAAAATTCCATGTCTTCCGAGCTTACACGACTTTTCAATTTAGCCACCGGTGATCTCGGACACCGCGTTAAATGTCATCGCACGTTTCGGAGATATATATTTTTTTCACAAAACGTTTTCTACGAAAAAAACAAAAACGAAACAGCGCTATATTCACTCGGGCTTCATCACACCGAAGAGAAAAGTATCTTTGCTGCGCGATCGATCGCCGTTGTTCTCGTCGAAATTGTAAAGCCCGAACACGTCGTCATGAGGAGAAACGACAAGGAAGATGCTCGTATATTCACCCGAACACACACGTACATGCATATATTGATTTGCCCGGGACCACCTGTAGCCAACCCTCGAGCGCTACTACGCAGCCGGTTATGAATCCCGCGCAATTGCACGCAAGAAGAAAACGAATACGCGACGATAACACATACTCCCGACTTCGGTATCAATAACGCGGCGATATATGAAGTCGGAAGTTCATTCAAGTCGCGACTTTTCGCGCAGCTTTTGCGAATGTTTCTCTAGCGTAGCGCATATAACCGATTAGACCTACGTGTGTATGTGTTTTTGAAATGATGAAATGTTTTCGTTTATTGCACGTGGTGTGGTTTTTATCGCGGGGGAAAATTTATTATATTTTCTCCAATATTTGCTCGTATATAATAGACAGAGTAAACTTACAAAAAACTTTATTTCAATTTAATTACGTCTGCGCGTTAGAAGACCGGTGCAGTCAATATATTGGTTCTGAATGATTATCTGCGCGATAATCTTATAACACAGACGTACGTTTACAAGGTAAATAATACAAGAACCGGAGATCACACCTCAACATTTCATCTTATTTTAAATATACAAGATTTCAAGGAAAAAATGCCGGTCGTCTCTAAGAGACGATGATTTTTATTGCAATTTTCTCGCGGTAAAAAACACCTGATCTCTCTTCTCTCTGGAATATCGTTCCCGTTTTTTGTCATTTCTTCTGTTCCGTTTTTTTGTTATCATATCGCATAGAAAAATTGTTATCGCAATATTGACCTCGTACAATCCCCCCGAGATATTTCACTGGATTTTCTATCGAAATAGAACATTTTTTGATAGACACTTATTACACTTGTTCATTTTTTTCTCGGGGAGAGAAGGGAAGGGTGGGATTTTGCTCGTCTCTTTTTTAGCAATACCGAGATTCGATGACGTCTTTTCCCCGCGCACACGGCGCCGCCGCCACATAATGCTCCGCGCGCTTTTGAAGTTCGCCATTGTGTGCGCTCTCTGCTATACTTGTGTTTGCGAATCGCTCGCAATTGTGTGCGGCATTGAAGAAGCCCATTGTGTTTCTCACGCGACGTTACCCACTTGCGTATTATACATGTGTGTGTGTATGTGTGAATATCATGTCCATTCGTGTCGTCCGCAGAAGGTAAAATAGCAGTACATTATCGCTATTGAACGGTTCCCTTTATTAAATTGAAATCACAACACGGTGCGCTTAACAAGAGAGATAACAGGCTCTCTATCACACCTGAATCTCGCGTGTACGTATCGTGGCGCATACAGCAGAGACTTTGATCACACACACACACACACACAGATCACACACAGAGATTATGAAAAATATTTCGATATCGCGCGATTGTTGGGATATAAGATTTACATTTTTATTACGAGATTCAACACGTTGAACACGCGTTATCGATCTTCATTAACTAAACATCGACGTTTTTGTGCAGCGAGTAGCGAGCTAAAAACATTAATTATTATGGCGTTCGAAAAACACGGTTCGTACGATCGTTATTTAATTTACAGAAACTTTTAATTGCGTCAAATTTAACTCAACTTTCGCAGTACAAAGTAATAATTTGTAAACAATCTCGGAGATGAGTTTCAGTTTTGATTTTTTTGTTTTTCATCGGTTATGAATATGCAACGAACGCATATATCATCGATGATTACCCGTACTTACGCCTTGATGAACGTCCGAACCTGGCAATCAAACGCGTGTTGATTACACCGGGTCATCAATAATCACGTGCACGCCCCCCTCGCGAGCCGTAATAACGCTCATCAGACATGCTTATTCTATCATACTCTGCCGGGGTCTCTTCGTCGTTATAACGCGTCTCATGTAATAATAACGCTCGTCGCATTTCATTGCCACTAAGTGTAGGCAATTATGAGTCGCGTTTAATCACTTCGAAACACGTTGCAACGAAATTACCGCGTTATCTCTCCGCGATTGTTGTTGAAAACGTTCGATTCGGGACCTTCGCGTTTCACGTTTGCGTTGCGCCACGATACGTTTAACCGCCACTGATCTCCGCGATGTTTATTTATTTCTAAACATTTTCAAATATCGCGACTTTATTTCTGTTAAATTTATCACCGCGGACATGGCGAAATGTATAATGTAACTCTTGGACTGTGAAATTAGAAAAGATATGCTAACAAGTGTGAAAGAAGATTAAGATGGTCCTTTTGTCGTCACACACACACACACACACACAAACTCTGTTTGTGTAAAATATATAAATTATAATTCGAAAAAAGCAAGCTGCAATAACATTTCCATTTACTGCGATGAATTACTGCGGATTTCTCTGTTACTCTCGAAACAGCTCGTTTCCAGTCAGCGGAACGATGTTGCAAAATAAAAGTCGTTCTCTTTCTTTCGTTTATTTTTTAATTAAACAAAAATGCATAAAACTATCTGACATGACAGATTCTCGACAATCGTATTTTTCATAAATGCAAAATGCACTAGAATTGAAAAATAGAAACGGAAACTAAATTTTTACTGCTCTTTGTGAATTTTATTTTTAACTGATAAAAACAAAATTGAATATATCTGTATTTTGTAATTTGACCTATTCCCTACACCGAATCGAATTAACCTTTGGTCAAATCAAGTTGGCGTTTGTATTTATTTTTCTTGTTGTTTTTGTTTCCGCTGAATGTATACACGTACGTGTATATAAATGGAAAATTAAGTTGCAAATATTTTTCGCGATATTTTTTTTTGTTTTTCGAAATTTTTGGTTATACTAGCGTTATAGTTTTAATTGCACAATTTCCCGAGTATCGCAGATTTATTAAAAAAGTCTAAAAGGACCGTATTCGTTTTGCATTGTTGCGAACGATATTCGAGAGCAGTTAAATACGATAAAAAGTTTCACCTATATACTCCGTTCTGATATTTATTTTATTGGCCTCGAGGTAAAATTCTATAAAGACTATCCTGTAGACTTAGTTTTATTTGGATGAGCGCGCGCAATTCAATATATTTAAATGAATCCACTTTATAATTATCGGATAATCAATATTGGAAAACATCCGCGTCGCATTAAATAAGTTAACGAAGCCACACAAGAAGATGTGGGCTGTTCTTATCACCCGGACGATCAATATATCGAATGTATGTCACAAGTCGTGTCAATATCGGTTAATGAACTTTCTACTTCGCCTGGTAGATAAGACCGTTATCGTCGTTTTAGGAATCTTCGGCAAATATCGATACGAGAAGAAGCGCGTTCGCGTTAACACAGATTGTTGCATTATCTCGCGCGAATATTTTCGCGTGACGAATCATTGAGAGAAAAAAAGAACGCCACCCAAAGAATAAGTGAGTCCGTCGTCCGCCACAAGCACGTCATCTCGCGCGAGCAATTTCACGGAACATCGTGCATGACATCGTCCCCGCGAACAACAACGGACCGTCGTCAGAATGCGGTGGCCGAGTCGATGCTCTTTATGAGCAATTCCGTGGAAAACCGTCGCGCTTTTTATCTCTCCGGGTCCTCCTCTTGGCTTTGCGGAGCTGACGGAATCGCGGAAAAACGAATTGCCGGCCATTTGTCGTTCTCTGTCACACGTCGTTTTCTTTAATTGACAACAACATTGGAAACACACAAAAAGCACGGAAATAAGAAAACAAAAAAGTTTCGAGCTTCTCTCGCGGAGGAAGAGAAAATTTCACAAATGGCGGAAGACGCGTAATGTTTTCCCCGGTTCCGTCTCACGTGTGTGTGTCGCGTATTGTCCCACGTCTCTGTTTTGACAGGAAACAAATCGTCTCGCGGATGTCAAAAAGAAAACGACCAACGGAAAATAACAATAATAATACTTTAATGCAACAGAGAAAGAGAGAGAGATGGAGATGGAGAGAAAGAATTATTAGAAAAAGCGATGAATTATTTATGAAGAAACGCGTGCAGTAAAATAGCTGCAATAATTACGCAACTCTATACCGTCGGGAAACTAAAGTAAAAGTAAACTTCACCGTTCTTGTGTAAAATTGACTTTTTCGATTGTCTCGAATCTGTCGAACGATTGTAAAGTCATTTCCTTCGAGATCTCTTGCGAGATCTCACAATATTTTCGTAAATTAAACGAGAAAGAGAAAGAGAGAGATCCTAAACGAGAGAGAATTCGAAATATTCTCGTGCGCGAACCGATCTCTCGATAATTCGGAGACCTCTGGTAATTATATTCGAGAGGGAGAAACGTCGCGCGCGTCCCAAATCAAATTCAAACAAGAGGTCGGAGAAAATGTCCAGATAATAGCGGGTTTGTGATTTTCGAACGGGGTCATTTTCTTTCAGCGAACACAAAAGACGGAAACGCGGCAAACAACGGGGGAGAGGATGGAATTACGTGTATGCGCTTTAGATATTCGGAATGCGTCCGGGGAGAAAGATTGGAGCTCCGTCGTCCGAACACACTCAAACCTCTTCCTCTTCTTCTCCCGTTGTCGTCCGCTCACTGCCAATTAACAATGGCAAGTGCCGAGAGAGACGACCTTTCCACTCTACTAATTTGCTCTGGATTTAACTGCAGCACACTTTAGTCGCAAAGGCATTCCCCGACAAGCTGCTCGACGCCCGCGAAAATGGCTCTCGGTATCTACGTATTCG